GGCCATTTTTTTGGTTGCAGCCATCATTGTTGTTTGGCGGGCCCGGGCTGGGGATTCGAACCCGCCACCTTAGGTGTACGTGGCTGGCGCCTTAGCCGCTTGAGCCACAGGCGCTGAGCCCACTTTTAGGTTTTTTAGAAAAAGCAAGTGGGAAGTACAGAGGCTTTCCCTATGCTCCTGCACCTTCCCTCCACAATTTTCCCTATTATCTTTTTTCTCTTTTTGTAGGGAGTCTTAGGCATGCTCAGGCTGGTCTCCAGTTCCTGTCCTTAAGAGATCCTCCTTTGTGGCCTCCCAAAGTGCTTGGATTACAGGTGTGAGCCACTGTGCTGGACTTTTGTTAACAACTTGCATTAGTGTGGTACCTTTGTTATAACTGATAAACTAATATTGTTATATTACTATTAACTAAAGTCCATGGTTTACTTTACACTCTTTGTGTTGTACATTCTCTGAGTTTTGACTAATGTATAATATAAAGAATGTATTGACCATTAGAATAATTTCACTGCCTTAAAAATGCCCTGTGTGCCAGCCTGAGCAAAAGTGAGACCCCATGTGTACTAAAAATAGAAAAAGCTGAGGCAAAAGGATCTCTTGAGCCCAAGATTTGGAGGTTACTGTGAGCTATTATGCTACAGCACTCTACCCAGGGGGACAGCTTGAGACTCTGTCTCAAAAAAGTAAAATAATAAAATAAATAAAGGGACACTATGTGTTTAATTTTTAAAAAAGAAAAAGCCCAGTGTTTCTTCACCTATTAATTCCTGTCTCCGTTCCCTGAAACCTCTTGCAACCACTAATCTTTTTACTAACCTTTTCTCTCTTTTTTGCCTTTTCTTTTCTTTTTTTTTGAGGCAGCGTCTGCCTAGCTCACAGCATCCTTAAACTCTGGGCTCAAACCATTCATGTGCCTCAGCCTCCTTCATAGCAGAGTCTAAAGGTGCCTGCCACAACAAATTGCTAATGTTTCTATTTTTAATAGAGATGGGGTCTTGCTCTTGCTCAGGCTGGTTTCCAACATCTAAGTTCAAGTGATCCTCCAGTCTTGGCTACCTGGAGTCCTAGGATTGTAGGTGTGAGCCACTGTACCTGCCTTTTTTCTTTCTTTTTTTCTTTGAGATAAGATCTTAACTCTATTGCCCAGGCTGGAGTGCAGTGACACAACTAGCTTACTGTAATCCTTTTTTTTTTTTTTGAGACAGAGTCTCACTATGTCACTCTTTGGTTAGAGTGCTGTAGTGTCACAGCTCACAGCAACCTCCAACTCTGGGCTTAAGCGATTCTCTTGCATCAGCCTCCCAAGTAGCTGGGACTACAGGCGCCCACCACAACACCTGGGTATTTTTTATTATTATACTTGTCATTATTGTTTAACAGGCCCAGGCCTGGTTTGAACCCACCGGCCCCAGTGTATGTGGCTGGTGCCCTGGCCACTGGGCTATGGGTGCCAAGCCTAGCTCACTGTAATCTTGAATTCCAGACTCAAGTGATTCTCCTCTCTAAGACTCCCAAAGTACTAGGATTTCAGGAATCTTAATGATTCTAAGTATAGAATACAAGATTTTATTTTATTTTATTTTATTTATTTTTTGAGACAGGGTCTCACTTTCTTGCCTCTAGTAGAACGCTGTGGCATCATAGCTCACAGCAACCTCAAATTCTTGGGTTCAAGAGATCCTCTTGCCTCAGCTCCCCAGTAGTTGGGACCACAGGCACCTGCCACAGCACTCTGGCTTAGGCTGATCTTGAACTCCTGAGCTCAAACGATCCACCCTCCTCGGCCCCCCAGAGTGCTAGAATTACAGACATGAGCCACCACACTTGGCCACAAGATTTTAGATATACATTCCTGTAATCAACAGTAAGGCAGTACAATTTTAAAATATAATATTTATGTTCAAAGTACTTTGAAATATATGTAACTTATATTACCATTCTGGTAATATACTGGGGGAATATAGGAAAGAAAAAAGTTTACCAGATGTATTTATTGTTCAAGGTTGTTACCCATTAGGGAGTTTTACTGCTCTACTCTCTTTCAGGGCTACTTCCACATGAGCCCACCAATCTGGAGCAATCTGCTTCAGCTCATGCTGACAAATTATGCAGAGCTCCTGGCCTTTTACCCGATGAGCTGGTCATCAGATGCCCCATGAAGCCTCAGATGTAGATTGTGTGTAAGAAGTCAGCTGGAAATGTTAAGTACTACCCCACAGAGTTATGAAGATTAAATGTATTAATAATGTATGTTAAACGCTTATTAGAACACTTCTGGGTACGCAGTACTCACTATTTTCAGAAACGAAAGTACAATTTGGCAATAAAAAGAAAACAGATGACACAACTGCAAACCTTCAGAAGTACAGTAGGCTACTGATGAGAACTCTTAAGGCTTCTCTACAAATTTCTTATTCAAATTTCTAGTACTTAACACCCCTTTCAGAAGAACAGAGCCTGCTTTCCTACCTCTAACCATTAAACAAAAGGCCCCGGTTCTCCAACTAGATGAATTTAGGTCCTGTGTCTGCCCCTGAACCATTCACAGTAGCTAAAAAAATGCCCTGCAGTGATTGGCTTAGAGGCGAATTCCTTCCAAGTTCTTGCATTTCGGGGGTTGGGATTATGCTGATTAAAACGAGATGCACAGCCCCGCCCCAACTCCTTGACGGCTACGCAATGAGTCAGTCTCCCTTAATGTCTGCGAGAATGGACAAAGTCTAGGGTTTGAATGTATCTATAGTAAAAATAAATATATAAACCAATACAACTTATTTCTATAATATGCCATTTTAAAACACTGAAAAATGGCAGAAACAAAATACCTCAATCCCGATGCTCCGATAACCGTCTTTGATTTTTTTTAATCATATGGCAAAAACCGCACTTTTTATTCAGTAATGTATAAAATATAACATAGAACGTTACCCGAACGATTGACAAAGCGTGAACACGGAACTTTGTATTAAATGACAGCATGAAAATCCAATTTTTCTGAGTTTCATGATTGCAGTGTGGTTATATAAGAGAATGTCTTTTTTCTTAGAAGAAATATTTAGAAGTAAATATTAAATATTTAGAAGTAATTCAAAAGTGATTCTGAAACTTACTCGCAAATGGTTCAAAAAGTGTGTGTATGTATATATAGAGAGAACTAGCAAATGTGGAGAAATGTAAAGATTTGCAATTCTTCTGCATTTAAAATTATTTAAAAATGAAAAGTTTGGGACAGTGGAGAAACAGGCGTAATCAATCTTTTATTACCATATTTACAGCTTCTAGTCTTTTATGACTATTTTTTTAAAAGAAAGGAAAGTGAAACAAAAAAATACCCTTCTCCGTCAAGCTCCTGCTATGTCCATATCAGAAAAAGCAAAGCAATGCAAAGCAGTATGTTTTTATATAAAGATATTAACTCTGAGAATCATTTCGTGTTGCTGGCTTAACCAGGGACCGCCGTATCCCCTTTAACCCTGTAGAAACAGAGCCGCCCACGGCGGAGCGAGGCGAGGCTGGCGCCACCCCTTCGCGCTGCCTGCCGGGATCTGGAGTCCCGGCTCCATCGCCCCCAGGCACTCCGGGATCGCCCGCTCGCTCATCTCGCGATGTTAGCATTCCCTTTTTACGGGTCCTGTGCCCCCCCCCCAACGTGTTTTTCAAATCCACCAATGGGCATACAGCTTAGGCTCGAACCAGCCAATCGGAATGCGGAGTCACCGGGAAATTTAAATCGCGCCGGCCGGCTGCACGAGCCACACCGTGTTCTGCCTGAGCTACGGTGGACGTTTCCAGGGCAGCCGACCCAGGTCTTCTGAGTCCCGCACCACCTCCCGTGGAAGCTTGAGCTAGCTGTGCAGGTACGAGCTCAGCTGGCAGCCAGGCCCAGGTGGTAACGGCTGGCCCGCGGGCCGCGCTCAGTTTCTTGTTGGCGGGAGAAAGGCCCCGCGTATACTCTGGGCCTGGCTTTGGCCTCCCTAGTTGCCTAGGCCTCCGGGGCGTTGTTCGTTGAGGAGGTGGCTTAATTGAGCAACGCGCGGGCTGGAGCTTTAGGGCTTAAACAGGGCTTACTGCGAACGGCAGCGAAAGCCTTAGCACGTCGTGGCCTGGAGAATCAGAGACAGGCTGAGGGCGAATGTCCTGGGAGGGCCCCGGTGGCTCTGGCCTCCTCCACTGTTCCTTGTTGCATCTTCCCCGGGAGGCGGACGGGGGTTAGGGTTGGACTTGGAGGTGGCAGTTGGGAGAGTTAGCTATCTTTAACACTTAAGCCCTGGCTTGGCTGTGTCACAGAGCTGTAGACGAGCTTAATGGAATTAAGGTTAGCATGCTGTAAGAAGGGCTTTGACTTTGTCACCTTTTGGAGATGAGTCCTAAGTATCTGAGTCTGAGCGACGCACAGCTGATGTCATTCTAACTAAGTGCAGTCACTCCAAGTCCCTGGAAATGAAAATGTAAGATGCAGCACTACGTTTTCAGTGTTGACAAAAGAACATTATGGAGGGCTTCATGATGTAATGATGACCCACATTTGTATTTAACTTTCAAGTGTGGCAAATGGACTCATTTTGGCCATTTAAAGTAGGGAGAGCATCCAGGAATTTTCATTTATTGTCCTGGGACGTAGGTTTTAATTTGTACTGTAGCTCGGTTCCCCTACTTTTTTGGCTTCAGTTAACTGTTACGGACTCTAGAGCTTAGAAACTATCCAAAACGGTGGACGCATGTGGCTGCTGAGCACTTAAAAGAGTGGTTAGTTGGAATTGAATCTATGCTGTAAGATTTCAAAGGCATATTAAGAAAAAAGAATGTAGAACGGCTCAATATTTTTTATATTGATAACATTGAAATGATAATTTTGCAAATGTTGGGTTTATTAGGACTAGTTTTTACCTTTTGCCTTTTTTTAAAAATGTGGCTACCAGGAAATTTAAATTTGTGTATGGTTTATATCTATGATGGACAGTGCTGCTCCAGGAAGTCTCAGCCCTTCTGAGGGGAGGAGACAATCTTTCGATTAAAACTATCTCATCATGCTGAAAATATGAAGTGTAGATTGAATATATGCTTCAATATTCTTATTTGTTGCTTTTATTGACAAATGAAAATGATATTTTATCTCTTCCCCCATTTTCTAGCCTTCTCCCTTTGTCTCATAACCATGTCCACCAATGAGAATGCTAATTCACCAGCTGCCCGACTTAACAGGTTCAAGAACAAGGGAAAAGACAGCACAGTGAGTAACTTCTGTTGCTTTCTTCTGATGTATTTGCGAAGGGGTGAACACTTAGAGGGATTTTTTTAAAAAATGTTCTCACTTGGCAACAACTTGAGGGATTTTTAAAAAAAAAGTTCTCACTTGGCAACAACTGATGTGCTAGGTGAAATGGTATGTTATCTTTTCTTGAGGAAATGAGGCGACGCCGAATAGAAGTTAATGTGGAGTTGAGGAAAGCTAAGAAAGATGACCAGATGCTGAAAAGGAGAAATGTAAGCTCGTTTCCTGATGATGCTACTTCTCCACTGCAGGAAAACCGAAATAACCAGGTAAATATGTTTTGGTTTATGAATTATGGTAAACCCAGCAAACCAGTAGGGGCTTTTCTTAGAAATTTAAATAAAGTTAAATAACATTTCTAGTCTTACGGTTTTAATTATCAGTAAAAATCACTTTCTCTGCTTCCAATCAGTAATTCTGTCTTCTTTCGTGCTTTTCCTCCATAATTCACGAAAGCCGATAGAGTGCTGTGGCATCATAGCTCACAGCGACCTCAAACTCTTGGGGCTTAAGCAATTCTCTTGCCTCAGCCTCCCAAGTAGCTGGGACTACAGGTGCCCGCCACTATGCCCGGCTGCTTTTTAGTTGCAGTTGTCATTGTTTAGCTGCCCAGGGCGGGGTTCAAACCCCTCCAGCCTCAGTGTATGTGGCTGGCACCCGACCTGCTGAGCCTCCAGAGCTGCCTGAGCAGCTGCTTGTCTTCCTTTTGCTCTGACCGTCTCTTCAGTTTCCCTGCATTTCTAGCTACTGGCTAGGTTCCTTGATCTGATGATTGCAGTGTTAACTGAAAGTGTGTCTAGAATCAACTACTTTGAGCATTCTCCTTTTTTTTATATTTATTGTCAGTTTTGTTCAGGTCTTTTTCTTCTTGAACTATTTATATATAGTAACTACCTGATTTATCTTTCCCTTCATTCCGTATCATATACTATTTTCTTAAATTACTATTTATTACTATTTTTGAAACGGAGTCTTACTCTGTCATCCTGGGTATAAAGTACAGTGGTGTCATCAGCTCACTGCAGCCTTGAACTCCTGGGCTTAAATGATACTCCTGCCTCAGCCTCTTGAGTAGCTGGGGTTGTGCACCAGCATAGGGGTATGCCATCACACCTGGCTAATTTTTTCTGTTTTGGGTAGAGATAAGATGTCGCTCTTGCTCAGGCTGGTCTCTGAACTCAAGCAATCCTCCCTTCCATGGCCTCCCAGAATGCTATAGTTATAGGCATGAGCCACCACACCTAGCCAGGCTAGAATGACATGGTGTTAGCCTAGCTCATAACAACCTCAAACTCCAGGCTCAAGTGATTCTCCTGCCTCAACCTTCTAAGTAGCTGCAGGCACCTACCACAATGCCTGGCTGATTTTTCTGTTTTTAATAGAGATGGGATTTCACTCTTACTTATGCTGGTCTTGAACTTCTGACCTCAGGGGATCCTCTTGCCTCAGCCTCCCAGAGTGCTAGGATTACAGGCATGAGCCACCATGCCCAGTCACACATTTATTGTTTTTATTGAATACTACCTATATTCTATTTCTAGAATACTAATAAATACTCAAATGCTATCGTTAGCACCCCTTGGTCAGTTTAGTAGAAAAGACATTTCCTTTCTTAAGTTTCTGTAGTTCCCTGGTTCTGCACCAAAAATGGGGAGTAAATGTTAGATTATACAACATACATTTGCCACTTGTTTTGTGGTATTTGTTTGTCACATTTTTCTATTAGGTTGTAAACCCTAGAGAGAAAGGGACACTCTTTTTGAGTGATTAGTAGCATTGGTTCTCAAATCTTTTTTTTTTTTTTTTAAAGACAGAGTCTCACTTTGTCACCCTTGGTAGAGTGTGTGTCGTCTTAGCTCACAGCAACCTCCATCTCTTGGGCTAGGGTGATTCTCTTGCCTCAGCCTCCAAAGTTGTTGGGATTACAGGCGCCTGCCACAACACCAACTGTCTTTGTTGCAGTTGCCATTGTTGTTTTAGCTAGCTGGGGCTGGGTTTGAACCAGTAACCCTTGGTATATGGGGCCAGCGCCCTACCCGCTGAGCCATAGTTGCAGCCCTTAAATCTTCTGTGATTCACACAACATACTTTATATTTGCAACACTCTACCGTGGATATACGTAAATTATAAGCTTTAATCTTAAAAATGATAATTTGTGGGTGGTGCCTATGGCTCAGTGAGTAGGGCGCCAGCCCCATACACTGAGGATGGCAGGTTCAGTCATTGCCCCAGCCAAACTGCAACAACAACAACAGCAACAAAATAGCCGGGCTTTGGCAGGTACCTGTAGTCCCAGCTACTTGAGAGACTGAGGCAAGAGAATCACTTAAGTCTAAGAGTTCGAGGTTGCTGTGAGCTGTGACACAATGGCACTCAACTGAGGGTGGCATAGTGAGACTGTCTCAAAAAAAAAAAAAAAGACAAT